CCGGAAAGTGATGATGGTATTAGTCAGCCTTTATAGAGAACTTTTCTGGGTTCCAGGCATTATGCTGGCATTTCAGGTGCATTTTCTCATTTAACCCCTAGCTCAGCCCAGTGAGGAAGATGCTGTTGTCACCCCCACTTATCCTGTTATTGACACATCCCACGCCCTGCTTCCAGCTCCCACTCACCTGACTATCTTCCTGACCTGGGCTGATGCAGCTCAGGGGGCTTAGAGTCTCTCTAGTGCTTTCTTGTCCTGGTTTCACACTCATATCCTGTTTCACTCTTCCCTACCTGCAGCAGATCACCTCAGTTCGTTAATTTAGTCACTCATTTTTGTTCATTCATTCCTTCATCACCCACCATTTATGGGGTGCCTCTTCTGTGCCAGGCACTGCCATGTTTTGGAGTTTCAAAGTCTTGGCCCTCAGATACTCCTGTTCTTCTGGGGAGAAAGATGTGATTTCAGAAAACCACAGATCGAGGGAAGCATGCATAGGAGGCCATTTAGCGCCCAGAGGATGGCCACCTGATCCAGCTTGAGAGCGGGGAGGTCAGGGCAGGCTTCCTGGAGGAGATGACTCATGGCCCAAGTCAGAAAGAAGGGGTCAGAGTTAGCTAGGCCAAGAGGTGAAGGGCTGCTTCAGACATCAGGCCTTCTCAATGTTCTTGGCTTCTCCACTCATTTCCCTGCCAACAACATAATGGAGCAAACTTAGACCAGAGGTACAAGGTCACCCTACTCTGGCCTCATACCATACCTTGTCCTCTTCCTTCTCCTATCCTGTTCCGCAAAATCTTAGGTTTTAAGGAATCTCCTCTATGTTTATCTGCTTGTACATTTCTTTATTCATCAGAAACATTTATTGAGAACCTTGTGTACACAGCACTATGTCTACAGGGTGTCCTAGGTCCTGCCATCCTGGGAGGCCTTCCTGTCCTCTCCTCACCAGCCATAGCCTCTGGAAATTTGTGGCTCTCTGATCTTTTTCAGAATTTGGCTTCAGCCCCTTCAGCTTGACTCCCCTACACTTGCACATAAGCCTCACTGGGGTCAAATGCTTCCATGAAGCTGCCTTCCTCTGGCTTCCTCATCCCACCTTCTGCTTTGTCTGTTGATTTGCTTCTTCGTCTCCCTTGTCAGCCTTGGAAGTTCTTTGAGGGCAGTGCCTGAGCTCTTCCCTTTTCTCTACGCTTCACTGTGGCACACTGGTAAAGTGAGAGAAATATACCCTTCTCAATAATCGCAAAGTTACTACCATTTCTTGAGCACCTACCATGAGCCCTTTGCTCACTATTCATGCTTTACGTGCAAATTTCTCTAATCCTCCTACTTTTGAAAGGTGGGCACGGTTATCCTTACTGCCTAGGTAAGCAATCTTGGGCTCAGAAAGGCAAAATGAACTTCTCAAAGCCACAGAGTTCACGAACAGCAGAGTCCAGCATCAAAATTAGGTTTTTCTGGTCCCACACCCCTGATCTTTTCCTCACACTGTTGTTTCCCAAACTCGGCTGGAATCACCCTGGGGAGTTTTATAAAATTCTAATGCCTAGTCTTAGCCCCAGAAGTTCTACTCACCTGGAAGTTGTTGGGGGAAAGGGGGTGTGTGTGTGGCCTGGGCATTGAGAGATTTGTCAAGCCCCTTCTGAGAGTCTAATGAGCCAAGGTTGAGAGAATCATTGCACTGACTGCATTGCCTTCCTGCGTCCACACTGTCTGCAGCTTGTTGGTGGTGATGTGTGAATCTGAGTCCACGTGTGTGGCAACCATGTGACCAGAAGAATGCAAGTTCTTCATAGCCATGGATCTTTGGTCCTCCCTGCTGCCTCCCCACCCGGCAACCTCACCACCCCGTGCACGTGCACTGCCAAGGATTGTTGACTGTTTAATCAGCCTCTTGGTTCTTCTGTCTCATCTAGGCGATTCACTGAGAGGCGGCTGGAGTTTGATCACATCCAGCTGTGCTCATCCTCAGAGCCAGTTGACACAACAGAAACATCTTGTAAACGTGCTGCGCGTGCTCCCTGGTCTCAAGTGTGTCGCCCTCGTGACCCAGACCCAGTGTGTGTGCAGCCAGGGCCAGCCTCCCTTCTGCGGAGGGAGGAGACTGTTCTGAAGTTCACGGGCACCGTGACCGTGTGCTGCTGTGCCTTTTTACCCTCAGGAGGGGTCTGTGACTTGCCTGGTCACTGAGGGTCAAGCTCACGTGTGTATTCCATTCTGTCCAGGGCTCAGAGAGGTCGTTCTTTTTGCACCTCACTTTATAGGTGAGACAGTGGAGACACAGCGAGGTGAAATGACCTGGCAAACAAATGGATACACAGCCCAGGTTTTCTGAGTCCCAGTGTGGTGCCTTGTCTGTTGTCCCACAGTGATCAGTGTCTGGCTTTCCACTCCAGACCTCAATTGAAGCCACTAGCTTTCCTATCCTTAGTCCTGTTTACCCCTGCCTGGTCCTGGGACACCCTGGGTGTCACTTTGTGTCCCTGGGAGTATACTGCTAGTGACCAGGCGTCCTGTTTACTTTTGGGGTGCAGTCTGGGGATCATCCTAATATCTCAGGGCCCTTCTTGGACCTGCACAGCTAAAAGGAAATCTCCTGTGATGCTGCTCAGATACTTCTGGAATCTTCCCAGCTCCGATGCCATCTCCTGGTACTTATTATCCAGCCACCATTCACTGATGAGCAGTGCTTTGCCTGATCTGGGCACCAGGATACAGAGAGAAAACATGTTCTGTGTCTCAGAGGCCTGGTCTGGTGGAGGTAATATGCAAACAAAACAACATTCCTAAAAGCATGGTCCCCAGGCCCCTGCATTAGAAATACAAGGGAGCCTTACTAAAATGTAGATTTTTTCAAGGCCTCATTCTAGGGCCATATTTCAGCATCTCTGAGAATTAGGCCCAAGAAACTGCATTTTAACATGGTCCCTAAGTGAATCTTAGCTGCTCTGAGGTTTGGCAACTGCAGAAGTGAACCTGGTGGTGAGAATGTAGTATCGTATGTGAAGGGTGCACCGGGCAGGTGGCAGTCTGCAGGAGCACCTGTTCTCAGGAGGGACACCAGCTGGGCAGGGGCCAGCTTCTGGAGAGTGTCATGAGGAATAACTAGGGGTTCTCCAGATAAGGTGTAGCCAGAAAATCTTTTCCCTAGAAATGTGAATCCTGCTCAGTGTATCCCTTCTCTAACGCCGCAGTATTAAAGTTTGCTTTAGCAGAACATGCCTGGATCAGGAAGTACTGATGAGAATCTGGGTGGATTTGGGCCCTCCTTCTACTTTATCTGTGCACATCACCCTCTTCGCTCCCAGGATTAACTCCTATCCTCTTCAAGTCTCACCTCATGTCCCCGTTTTTAGATCAAACCTCTATTTCTCATCAGTTAAGTGATTTTAATTTGCCCGGTTTGCCCCTAGAGGTCAGTTTGTGCCTGGCCTGTAGGTTGCCACCTGCCAATGATAACTACCCGGTCACGAGCTCATGATGAGCTGGTTTTCTCTTTATTGAAAGAAGAAGTTGGGTTATTAAGGGGGTAGGGTAGAAGGAGAAGTAAACACTCAAATAAAATATGGCAGGGAAAGTGGTAGCATTTCAGTAAGGGGGGCCCCTACCAAGAAAAAGCTGAGGTTTAGAAAGATGATATGAAATTCCCAAGCAACACCACTAGGCACAGCCTCCAACTCTGGAGACTAAAATTGCTTTTTCTGCTCCACTACACTGGATTGGAATGGAACCCTTTCTAAATGTACTTGGAGGGCTTATTATTTAAAGGAATTCTGTATGAAACTCTGCAGAAATTCAGTCATTTAGTAGGGTTGATTTTAAAAATATATGCATATGCATTTTCTTAAAGCACAGCAGACCCGGGTTTTAGAGCTCTGTATCATGTGTTCCATGTTTGGAATTAAAATGAGACCATGCCTGTGAAAGTGCTTTGGTATGCATAATGCTCTGCACCTGTGGTTCTCAAAGTGTGGGCCCCAGACCAGCTGCATCAGCACCACCTGGAAGCTTGTTAGCTTGTTATCCTATTAAGTGAAGTAAGTCGGAGAAAAATATCATATGAGATCACTTATATGTGGAATCTAAAAAATAATACAAATGAACCTATTTACAAAACAGAAACAGACTCACAGACAAACTTATGGTTACCAAAGAGGAGAGCAGGGGGTGGGGGGATAAACTAGGAGTTTAGGATTAACAGATACACATTCCTATATATAAAATAGGTAAACAACAAGGACCTACTGTAGAGCACAGGGGACTATAATATCTTGTAATAACCTATAATGGAAAAGAATCCGGAAAAGAATACATATGTATAACTGTGTATAAAGTTGTGTATAACTTTGTTGTACACTTGGAACTAACACATTGTAAACTGACTATACTTCAATTGTAACAATTGTAACAACAAAAAATAAAAAACTACAAATCCTCCAGCCTTGTCCCAGGCCCGCTGAATCAGAAACTCTGGGGGTAGGGCACCAGCAAGACGTTTTCACAGTCCCTTCAGATGATTCTGATACCCGCCCAAGTTTGAGAACCACAGTTCTGCATCAAGAGAAAATTAGCCCCTGGGGCTTGTGGGAATAAGGCTTTAAATATCTCCAAGTTCCGCTGCTTGAGATGGTACTGGGGAGACTGGAGCAGTAGGGTTAGGGTCACAAACCTCAGGTAGGTTGGGTGAGATCATTTGAAAGACCTGGCTTTTTCCTTGAAAAGCAAGACAAGGCTGTGTGTGTGTGTGTGTGTGTGTGTGTGTGTACAGCAGTGTCGCACTCCACACCTTCAGAAAGCAGTCTTTTCATGTTTCTGCTGATAAGGCCAAGCTCCCTGAACCTTGTTTCTCTGTGTGCTTAAGCCAGAGGCCTGTGGTTATCAATCGATTTAAAATGAGGCAGTCAATATTGTGACCTTTTTCTCCACCTGCTCCATTGTGCGGACTTTTTTTTTTCTGGAGTTACTTATTAAATGAAAATAAAACACTACTTCTCCAGCAGGCTTGAAGCTTCGTGATTTCCTGGTTGACAATGAAACCATCTCTGGATTCCTGCATCACAACCTCTCTCTGCCAAGGCCTACTGTGGACAAAATGCTGGGGGCCAATGTCAGTCTCCGGAAGGTAAGCTACGCCCTTTGGCGTCCCTGTTGGGGCTGATGGCAATTACATTGTTCTAGAGCCGGGAAGGAAATGAATAAACTCAAGTCTTTGTAATGGCTCTAAAGGAGGTTGTTAGCTCAAAGGCAGCTTCACCTGTTTTTACCTCCCTGCTCAGGCTGGCATTGCCAAACCATCTGCAGAGTGGGGTGTACAACCTGGCGTCACGGGCCAGCCGGTTGGAATAAAACTGATTTCCTGCCTGTCAGTTGGCATTTGTAGATAACTTCCCCCGGAAAAGGGGACGAATTTAAGTTAAGATGAATTAAACATTTTTTTTAAATTTCACAGTTCTGGGATAATAACTAGGGTTGAGGATTATTGATCTGGAGTAGCTCTGTCTATAAAATCCAAGACAGGTGATTTAAAAAAAAAACTTAATGCTTCCTTTAAAGATAGACAAGAAAGATATATAAGGAGAAAATGTTTATTTTTTTTCTTAAATGTATAAAACCAGAAAATAATATTAGTGTCTCTGTAGAATTTTACCTTAGATTTTAAAAAACTTCCTCTGGCATCATTAGATATCCCACCACTCCTGAGCGGTGTGCAGCAGACCCTGATTGCATGGTTATTGATTTTCAGAGAAGCATCTCAAGTTCATTCTTTGGCAGAAAGGGGGAACTGCTTCCTTACCCTGTCTCATGTCTACATACTAGCTTGTCTTTACAGTTAGCAGAACTAGTGGAAATATTTATGCCTGAAAATAAGATCCTTGCTTTACATGATCTAGAATTTTTAAAATTAGAAAAATATGCTTACTGCTTGCCCTTATGAAACTAGGAAAATATGCCTTGTGTTTACCGATTGTGTGGTTGGGCGATGGGCCAAAGGCAGCAGGCTTATGAAAATTGTTAGCCTGATTTCCATTGCCCCCCTGCCAATTTCCTATCTGTCTGATCCAATCAGTTTAAACTAAGGGGCATCCTTAGTATGGAGGTGGTCCTCACATGGTAATTAGTCTCTGTGTGGTCAGTGTTCTTAAACACAGATACTAAAGGGAGATTGGCAGCAAAGGCTAGTTAGGAACAGGAGGCAAAGTGAAGTACGCTTGAGTATCTGGCAGTAGGTAGAGACTTAATAGAAACCACGGCAGGCCGAGTGCTTCTGCTGTGTTAGAAAGCTGCGTGGGTCTTAAGAGGCACTGGGTCCATCACTCCCATTAGGTTGTACTATAAGCAGGACAGGCTGCACTAACTGAAACAAACAGACAACGTAATAATGGAGTAATAGAGTCTGAATCATCCATTCATTCATTCCACAGATATTTACTGTCCATATGTTCCAGCACTGTGGACACAAAGGGAGCAAGAAAAACAAGGCCCCTCATCTTACTGAACTGGCTGTCTCATGGACAGTAAGGACCATATATGAAGAAGTGCGGTTTAGTTAGGCCCGGAAAGTTAACTAAATAAACAAAGAGAGGCTCTCTCGGCTATAATGAATGGATAAGAATGACTTAGAATTGGCCTGTCAATGAGAGAAGGAGTTTGACTTTCTAGTACTCTGCTCTGATACAAGTAAAAGGAAGAGTTTCAAACTCTGAAATTGTTTGAACATAGTTCTTTGCAATAGTTAAATATCTGTCTCTACATGTAAATAGTATAAATGCCTTTTTTTTTCATAATTCAGCCCAGCTCCGGTTTAAGATATCATGCATTCCAAAGTAATGAGAATTTTCTATTTTCTCTAATAAAAGTGATTTCAGAAGTTCAGGCTTTAGACTTCTATTCACTGAATCACATGTCCTACTTTTGAGAAAAAGAGTTGGACTCAGAATTTCCCTTCACAAGGACAAGAGTGTGGGGGAGGATGAGTCAAACATCACATCCTGGTTTTAAATATCCTATAGAATCATGCCTGGATCTGTCCCGAAGCTCGCTAGTGACCCCGATGCATCGGGCTATTGCAGTGGTGCCCACTCTTCAAGGCTGTATTGACGTGAGCTCCCCCAAGAGGCTTGAGGGATCCAGCTTCCCATGTTTGTAATCCAGCTTTGCTTCTCTCTCTTTGCATGAAATGCTTCCAGGTATTTCTGCAAGGCTACCAGTTACATTTGACCAATCTGTGCAACGAATCAAAATTACGAGAGGTGATTAAACTTGGTGACCAAGAAATCTCCAGGCTTTGCAGCCTGCCAAGGGAGAAACTGGAGGCAGCAGAGCAAGTGCTCCGTTCCAACATGGACATCCTGAAGCCGATCCTGGTGAGCAGGCCTGCCATGCGGAGCCACTTCTTGCACTAACGCTTTTGGATTGTGACCCTTTTCCTTGGGCAATGTGGTTGATTTTGTAGAAACGTAAGGCTGATTGGGAGTTGGAAATATAATTTGGCTCAGTGGTATTCTAACTGTCCTTTCAAACTTTTGGGCCATCTACCCAAGGCTGAATTGGGGAAGAATGAGTTGGGTGTGGCCCCAAGTCCAAGTCTAAGGGTCCCTTGTGCCTGCTTCAATCAGAGAAGACCTGCTTTTTTGGGTTTTTAATACTGTTAAGAGTCCATATGAAGAAAGAATTCCCTAGATTAAAAAAAAGTCTCAAAACCATGAATGAGAAGATAGGTAACTATTCATTTTCAAAAGCCTATCAGGAGACACTGAAATGTCTCAGTGACAAAACCCTGAAACTGGATGGGAGCACACTCAAAAATTAGCTTAATCAATGACGAAACAGCATTCGCAGAAAAATAAATCGCAACAAAGTCTGATCATCAACTGGGAATCAGTGGTTTAGAGAAGCGGTCCACGAGAGTGCACTCTCATTCCTAATCCAAGAATGCAGATGAATCTGAACGTTCAGCTCACCAGTGTTGCGTGCAGTTCCAGAACAGGTCTCTTTCTGTGGATTTTCTGTGAGCTCTGGTGGCATGCCTCTCCAACAACATTCTCTAGCATCCGGTGTTCTGGTTTCCTAGTCACCACAGAGCTCCCTGATTGGTCAGTAGTTTCTTTTAAAACCAGGGAAAGAGTCCTGGAAGAAGGACGTGCCTAGAAAGAGATATTCCTCATTATAATAGAAATTTAAATGCTCTGGGACTTTGTGCACCATGACTTCTCTATAGAGAGATGGGCCCTAAGAAGGTTTGATTTCTGGACCCTGTGCCTGGATCACACCCTAGAATGTGACCTTGGAAACACATCTCAGGGTTTATGTTCTTGACTGACCATCAAGGAGTCCTGCTTGCACCCTGATGCTACAATTTCTGCTTGAGGTGAAGGTAGTAGTAAAACTGAATTTTTTGATGCTTCTGTGGCAGGGTTGATGGTGACCCAGTCAGTGTGAGGGAGTTAGGCCTAGTGCTTAAGATCTGTTTTGCAGCCCCAGATAAGTGGGCTTAATAGTTATTTAAGCTCATTTGTGAAGACATTTGCAGCCTGTTACTTTTTGTGTTGTGAGACAGAGGGTCAAAGGTTATTACAAATGGTAGACCATTTCCTTGGACCATTTTGGCTATTTTTCTTGACTTCACTACAAGACAGAAGTGTCCACCCTTTCAACCAGGATGGTTCAAATTTTGGAAAGAGGGTTGCTTTCAGAAGATGTAATCTATTCTGGTGTCCACTCATTATTTCATTTCTGTTGATCCATTAAATACCTATTGTGTGCACAACCCAGTAAAATCCCTTTAGTTATACAATGTCTGCATTATGCTCTAAGTAGAATGATAGTACAGCCTTCATAATCTGACAATCACCACCTTGGGTTCAACTTGAAAATCTCTCTCTAGTTGGAAAAATTACCATGATCAGGACATGGAAATGCACTGTCAAAACTGTCAGCTACATCAAAGCCCATCCCGTTGTGCTGTGGTTGTGCCTGGTAGACCAGTTAGTTCACAGCCAGGTGTTGATTAGGGTGGCTGCCATATTAATTGCTATGAGTAATATAAATTATATGCTGAAACAGTGGCTGGTAAGATAGAAGTTATCTTTTTGTAGATCAGTGTTAGGAATCAGTCATACAAACAAATAATCCTGTAGAATATTTCAATGAAAAACTGCATTCTTGGCTTAGATATTGCCAAGGCTTCTTACCCTGTAGATTCTTATTTATGTTTATGCCTCAATTATACCTTGCATAAAATGAAGGTACTAGTTTTCACGCCTTGCATATCAAGGTGTTCACAGGGCTGTATTCCTTTTTGGAGGCTCTGAACATGAATCTGCTTCTGAGCTCATTCGAGTTGGTAGCTGAATTCATTTCCCTGAGGTTGTAGGACTGAGGTCCCTGTTTTCTGGCTGGCTCTCTGCTGGGGGATGGTCTTTGCTCCTAGAGGCAGCCAGCATTCCTTCTCCTGATTTTCATATGGCCCCCTTCAGCCACAGTGGGCTGAGTCCCTCTCATGCTTTACACCTGACTTTTCCTTCTGCCACATCTCTATGCCTCCAGCCAGAGAAAGTTTTTTTGCTTTTAAGGGGTCGGGATTAGACTGAACCCATCCAGATCATCTAGGAGAATCTCCTTATTTTAATGTTCATGACCTTTTACATCTGTAGAGTACACTTTACCATGTGATATAACTGATTGACAGGTTCTGGGGATTAGGGTATAGACAGCTTTGGGGAGGGCATTCATCTAGCCACAGCTGCCTTTGGATTAGAACATATATTTCATTATATCTTCAGTGTTTCTGTTTCCAGGGAAGTTTCTTCAGTGCCTTTGGCGTTTGTTGTTGTTGTTGTTAGTCCCTTTTCAGCCCTGTGTACTTTCTTGCTCATGTTCTGAGAGTGACTCTAAAGCATAATGAACACTACCCATGAAGGTTTGTAATGCACAAACCAGAGAGAACAGAGACATTGGGAAGCAGAGCATCCCTGAACAGGGCATGAGATCATCCATCAGCAACATCAACCACATATTTACAGTATGTTTACTTTGTACCAGGTACCATTCTAAGGCACTGACAGTTCAGCTATGAACAAGGCAGGGAAGGTAGGCATGGAGCTTTCATCCCAGTGGGTACTGGGAACCAACTTTAAGGCTGAGATTGGGAGCTTGAGAAATTCTTCACAGCTTCTGGGTTCTGGAAAGTGAGGGCTGCCCTCCTCTCCGCTTCACTGGTGACCTGCCAACAGCTCCCTGACAATGGTTTTTGCCAACACGGGACACTGTGAGCCACAGTGAAAGACTGGGAGCTCAGTAGGCGTGGGCTCTAGTCTGGCTCACCATGGTCTCCCTGATGTGAAGGTGGTGTCTGATCCTTGAGGTGAGGAAAATTGTGTCTGATTCAGGTTAGCACAGGCAGGCGTACAGATTTACCTCCAGCTCAGTGACAGCTTACATACTGCACAACCATGAGGCTAGATTGTCTTGACTTCTGATGGTACCTTCACTCGCAAAGGGAAAGTTGTGTTTCTAGGGAACAAAGAGTTCTGTTCATGTGTCTGCTGATGCATGCAGTAATTCCTGCAAATGCTGTACTCAGTTCATGGGACAAAGGAGGTGAAGTGAGTGGTGCCCTGAGATTCCCAGAAGACCAGTGAGCTCACAGCTGGGCTGTGCAAGGATCAAAGGAGCAGATGGAGAAGAAGTGAACAGTCCTCCTTGTTTCCAAGGGTCTTTGTTTAGTGTCTTCTTGACCTTTAGACAAGGGCTCAGCTTGGCTCAGGGCTTTGGGGGGCCTAATACTTTTCAACTTGTCACAGCAATCTTTAAAGTATTTGTGTGGATCTTTCTTTTTTTTTTTTTAAATGGGAGGAGGCACTTGGGTTTATTTATTTAATGGACGTTCTGGATATTGAACCCAGGACCTCATGCATGCTAGGCATTCACTCTACCACTGAGCTATACATACTCCCCGCTTTGTGTGGGTGTTTTGCAGGAGAAAACACTTGGTTTTCCCTCCCCTCCAGCCTGGAACTCTGACATCTGTGGGAAGTACCAGATTTTGTTTGGCTTTGTGTGAGTTTTACTACCCACTTATTTACAAAATGTACTTTTGCCGGGCAAGCAGTTGCAACATCTAACATTTGATAAGGGGAACACGCCTCATGGATTTACTCTTTCAGACGCTGTTCACCTGGTTCGTGTGAGAAAAGGGGAGCACAGAACAGGGGATAAATTAGTGAATTTAACAGTGTGTTAATATGACTGCTCAGCTCCATCAAGACAGATACTTTTGCCTCAATTGTAACTGTTAGTTCCTTGAAAAATGCTGCCGTTTCTAAGAGAAAACGTTTGATTTTTTGATCCCAAATGACATAGTAGTAGGTGTATTTTAACTATGTTTAGAAACAGCAAAAAATGAAGTATTTTAATGCAATAAACACATCAGATTTAAAAGTTAATGTTTAAATTGTTGAATTGTTTTTAAAAGGTTAATATTGTCCTCAGACACAAGTTTTATGATTCCCTACTTCAATGAAAATCACTAAAATATGCCTCAAAGGAAATTTTATTGTCATGTAAACCATTGGAAAGACAGTGGTTGCTTCTGGGTGGTAATAGTCTTTGTGCCTAGTATGTGGCTTACTTATTTCCAATTTTAACTCAAACGTATAAATCCTAGCCCTGAGTTGAACTTACTGAACATGGGCAAAGTGAGGTAGAGATTTTAGTCTACTTTATGAGAGCATTTCAGGGAAGTTTGAAATGTCCCAGTGAACACATTGTAACATGCATTTACAGAGGAGGAAGACAAAATTGTGCATTATATTGAAAATACTATCCAAATGTATGTACATCCACATCTCACTTTAGCAGTAGAGTCCCTGCAAAATTTGAGTGTGGATAAGATTTTTGTAAATTGAAAAGAGTTTCCAATTACATTTTAATGTCACAGATGTTCTGTCTCATATTTCTATTTGGCTACAATTTCTAATGCATTTGTAGTAGTCTCTCCTGGTCTTCCTTTTGTATAACGATCACCTGTAAACAGAGACTTAATTTCATTCATTCAGCAAATATTTATTGAGCCCTGATCTGTGCCATGCTCTGGGCCAGGGAGGCAGTGGTACAGATCTCTAAGTTTCCCTGCTGGTGGGGCAGTAGACGGACAGAGCAAGACAGGAACAGATGCTGTGCAGAGTGATAACCTCTCTCCTGGGTACTGTGCAGGCCCTGAGGAGGCCTCCTGACCCGGTTTTTGAGGACCAGAGAAGAAACATCCTCTAAGTTGGAACCCAGGAATAGAGCTTAGCCAGGTGAAGATAGGGCAAGAATCTTCACGCAAAGGACATGGTATGTGTATGGGATTGGAGGAGAGAGA